GATTTTGTATATCGGGATTTTGTTGCCAGGATTTTGTGTGTCGGGATTTTGTGTGTCGGGATTCTGATATACAACCTTATTAATTATATTAATTAAAGTTTCAAAAGGTTGATATCCATAGTCATTGCATGTTATGCACAATCCACCCAAATCTTCTCGATACTGGAAATGACTATTTTGTAGGCGGCCCATGAAAGAGGTGCATTTTATTCTATCTGGATATATAGCAGAAAACTTTTCCCAAAGTGTACTTTTTTGTCTTTTAAATAAAGAACAGGTAAATTTGTTTCTTCATCAACTTTATAAGAACTCATATTTACATTATCTTTATCATTAAAAAATAATTCAAATTCTTTTTCTTTAACTTCTAGCATTTTTGAACGAGTAACTACAGATTTTTCTAATGCAATACATCCAGGCCCATTAATACGAGAAAATTTTTGTGCTGCATTGATAGTATTGGGAGATATCTGGGTTATGTTTATTTATTACTATTATATTTATATATTTGACAATTATACAAATTTTCTTACTTCTAATTTATCCATCAATTCCTGATATGTAAAACTTTCTACAATTATTGACAGTATATATATTTTACCATCAATTCCTCTAAAATTTGCATCATAACTATTATGAAAACAGTTCCAGAATGATTCAGCAGTTGACAAAGATTGTGAAGAAGTATTTAAAAACCCATTTTTATATAGGTTTTTAAGCGTATCATGGTCTTCTTCAGAGTTAGGTGAGTTTGTTTAAAATTCGGCCTATATTATATTTGATATATTATTGATTTTTTAGTTTGTCAATTTTTACTAATTTTTTTTTTTATGATTTTAAAATTTCATGCAAAAATAGTATTTTTGAAAAGTTGATGCTAATGATTAAGATTGATGGTATAGCAAATAGCAGAGTAACTTAGAGTTATAATTTGGATTAATGAATTGTTATCTGATTTAAAAACTCTAGTCAACATTAAAAACCGTGAAGAATTTTCATGATTATTACATGCATTGACCTTATTTATATTACCTGTCCATCAATCTGAGATTATTAATTCATAGGAAAAGCTATTATATAGGTATTGTTAAAAAAAAATTATTATTTAAAAATAGATTTTTTATACAAAGAAATGCGAGCTAACAAAATTCGATCTAGTCAATAATAAGTGATCAAAAGAACAACCAGTTATTTTATTGACAATTTTTTAAAGATTGCATTCTGATGTATAATAGGTTCTATATTTAAATACACAGGTTTTCTTTAACAATACTTACATATAAGTAACTTTTGATATAAAAAACTCGATATAAGAAAGGTTTTACAAGTCTTAATCGAAAATTTTATAACAAAAGCTTTTAATATATTAAAATCTCTGGACCTGGTAACTTCTTTATATCAAAAGTTACTTGTATCTAATATTGGCAATTTTTTTGATTAAAAAAATATTAACTGGCCAAAGCAATTAGCTAGCCAATATTACTTTATCAAAAAATTTGCTATCACTAATATTATATGAAATTTTTTCTTTTTAATTTATAATTACTTTAAAAATTTCTTTATCATAGAGGGTAATATTTGTACATCCTGTTGCATGAAAAATTGCATGCCATACTCTTAGTTCACATTCTCTAAATTCATGATTTGGACTATATATTTTACTGAGATGAGTATATAAGTCGATTATATTACTTTTTTGTTAGCTCCAACTTTGAAATACTTCATGCTATTCTTTAGCAAACTTACCAACTGCTTTTTTTAAATGTAAATCAAATAAATGCCCCATAATTGTTTTATTATTCCAATCTACAAATGTACACTCATTTGGTATTAACGTTTGATAATTAAATTTGGCTTTATATATTTGATCTAATTGTTGTAAGGTCATTGGGTGATTTATAGCGAATAAAGTATTACCTGGGAAGGATTTTAGAACTCCAGTTTGGTTCCAAACAGCATTGGGAGAACTATCTTTATATTCAGCGATGATTTGACTATCCTAATAAATTATAATTGAATATGAATTGTCATCATTAACAGTTTAAAAAAAAACAGACTGTTTTGCTTTGTACTTATTAAACAACGATGCCATATAATTATGACCAACTGTATTACTATTTGAACATGTAATTTTACTAAGAAAACTAACATAAATTGATAACTTTTTTATTTTTATAATAAATGGACAAAAAATAACATTTTCTAATAATTTTTGAAATATTTCAGGTTGTTTTAAATCTAAATATGATAAACCTGCAAATTTTGTTTTAGTGCCAAAGATGGCTTGGTAAACTGATGTAATTGCCATTGAGGAACTTGAAACCACATCACTACTTTTTTCATTTCCTTCACATATATAACTCGGTTGTAAATGACTATGTATATGACAAACTACATGAATAATAAAAGGCATTTTATTGAGTTGTATTATAATCTTAAGTTCCAAATGTATAGGAATAGGATAAGGTATATGCTCTTGATTGTTTTTAGAAAAAATCTACCAATTATGCATATATGGTCCGTAGTAAAGCTCTGGTTCAATAGTACTAGTTGCTACAAGTTTTCCTGGAGTTATGTGTACGCTTGTCATTTCAATTCTTTTAAGAAATAGAGATTTCAAATAAATTTTTTTTACTTAAAAAATATAGTGCTATAATTTACTATATACTATCTATCAGTCATATGCAGATCTGCAATTAACTGTTTTTGATAATAATAATATAATTATATATTTTTTGATTAATTATAAATATAATAGCATAAAGATTGATCTAATAAATTTTCAAATTTCCTAATTAATATTGGTGTATTTACTATAAAAACATAGAATTTAATTTAAAATTAAATAAAGAAACATCTTTTGTTAATGCTTTTACAGTTTCTGTATATTCTCAAATACAAGAAATTTTATAAATACAAAAAGAATATTATTAAAGCTGAAATTATTTGGCAAAATGATATTTCTAAAATATAATATAAAATCAATTGGTTTTACTGTTTTTGAAATCTAAAATTAGTATAAGATTGTTTTATAATACAAACCAACAAATTACAAATTATAGAAATTTATATTAAATAATATAGTAATAGCAGTATAATTAATAAATTATAAATTATATATAAAAAAAACTCTTCTCATAGATCACTTTTACCAAAACAGAAACAAGAAGAAAAAACTTTTCCACAAGATTATTTCAAAAACCTACTAAGTAAACAGTTATTTAGCTCTTAAGTAAAGTTATCTAGACTCTCTAATTGTATTTAAAAAAGATATATATTTTTTAAAAAGCTCTCTTCTCTTTAAATAAACTTGCCAAAAGACAAAAAATTAGTTTTTTTATCCTTCTACAAAAGTGGCCATAAGGATAGCCAACATCCAAACAGCCCCGCTCCAAGTACTACCAACCTGCTATATAAAAATACCAAAAACCTTTACAATACTCAAATTACTAAGCCTCAGCTCTCAAGTAAAAATATGATCTCTAAAAGTTTTTCTTCTTTCTTTAGTTATTTTTCTCTATCCCACAAACCTGCACAACCCAATAACAGCCTACTTGGTACCAAACCACCAACTTCAGAAACAAAATATACAAAAAATTTAATTAAAATCATGATTAAAGATTGGTCCAAACTCATCTTTATAGTTAGCTTCTCCATTCTGAAACATGCCAATGACTTTCTCTTTTATATTAATATTACCAAATCAGGAAGAATTCCAAATTTGGCAAACTACCCTCCCTAGTAGATATGCAAACACAAAGACATTACCCAATTAGTCCTCTTCAACCTTATGATATACAAAAACAATATTGTCAATATTAGTATCTAATTTCCCAAATCAACTCATATTTGTGATCTTAATATGACTATTTAGATATACGAAAGCAGTATGAAACCATACACCAAAGCTAGAAGTATCTCTGACCTGCCTAGAATTCTATACAACTCTATTACACAAATTGAATCAGACAACAAGTCTAACAAAAGCAATAGTGAATACAATATATGCTTTTTAGCTCTCAAGGAATCTGTATTACTATATGATCTAGCTAGTGACCAAACAAATATAAGCACAGCTATAAACAGTAATGCAGACAAAGATACAAACGTTTATCCAATCACCACCACATCACTAACTAACACTGCTAGTGATACTATCACTACTACTCATCCTACATCTAGACTTAACACACCTCTAGGCAAATTACTACACCCAATGCTAATATTAATTGCAAAAAAGCTAGAAATATATCACTATTAATTACAATCTCTAACAAGGCTACCAAAGTGCTCTCTGGTAGCTCTTCTACTACCTTTAGACCCTTTACTAGCAATCAGACACCCACAACCAAACTGTCATATAGCCAAGTTACTAAAACCAACTTTAAATTACTGGTTACCAATGTTCTTGACAATATAAAATAGACTACAATCATATATAGCAGAATCTTTAACTCTCCAATACCCTCTTTAATACAGGGATCTGGACATATAACACTATTGCTACTATACTTACTATCTCAGAAGGCATATACAAACTCATTTGCTATAAGCTAGCTACTATCTCTACTCAATTCAAATTGCTAGAAGCAATTCTTTAAAATTTGTATACTTTGATACCAGATTTTTTACAACATTTACATGCAATCCCAAAACCACTTCTATACACCAAAAAGAATACACCAACCTCTTTAACAAAGCCCCGCTCCAAGTACTACCAACCTGCTATATAAAAATACCAAAAACCTTTACAATACTCAAATTACTAAGCCTCA